AACATTTCTAACGATGCTTCTAGTTCATAGGTTTTACATTTGAGAGTTATGAAATCTATCTATAATCCCTGTGTGAATCAAATTTCTTCTTAAATAGGTTGTCCTTTCTTCTGAAAACTGTCACTAAAAAAGTGGCGCCAATGAGATATAACTGGGGAAATAATTAGTGGATCAAACAATCTTTTTTTTTCAGATGGACACTGGATAAATTACACATATTGTATAATTTATGTGGATTCTGTAAAGTTTTGTAAAATATGATGAGACATGTATCCGACTGTTTAATTAATGTTACAGTAAAGAGGTAGTATTAGGATTAGGAAATGGCTTGGATGTAAGAAAAACTTGAGTTGCATTCCCAATACAATCTCCCTCTGTTTGGATGATCTTATGAGACACTCAATCTCAGTTATACATCTTACATAAGGGATGAGGATGATAATAACAATTATTGTTTCCTTTGCTCTGAAAATTTTTTTCAGGATTATTGAAGGGAACAATGTTTGCAAATTTTACAATATAAATATCTGGTCCACATACATGCTTATAAAATGCTGGCTGACTCTGTGATCATTTTTATTCCCTTCGTTTAAAAGCACTGGGATTTGAAGTATGTAAGAGTTAAACTCTATAAGTGGTTTATGAAAAAATTTTAAAATGTTTTTAACCAGTTTGGAAAGAGATCTGGTTTTCAGCCAACAGACCACATCGACATTTGCATGCTGGCTTAACTTATCTTTCTTTGCGGGCTGAAGAATTTCAGGTGGCATTTCAAACAAATACATGATGATTTCATCAAAATATTCATGGATATTTTTAAAGGAAAATATTTAAAATATATATTTTAAAGCACCCTATTAAAATAATAAAAATGTCTATATTCATACAGAAGTAAAACCTGGTTTTCAGATTCTTTCCTTCATTCATTTCTGGTGTTATTTGTAATTTTGACATTTGAGAAGTTTCAGATTGGATTCTCTTCTATCGTTACCCATGAACAGGGCAAATAAGAGTTTTACATAATTGCTTTTGCCTGTTTCTGATTTTTAAAGGGGAAAATATCAATTGCTGCAAATTTTAAAAGTACAGGATAGTATCAAGAAACACACAAATAAAGCAAACACAATACTATCACCGAGAATAATATTATAGCATTTTCACATTTGAAACATCTGCATGTAGAAGTGTAGTAAGGAAAGGGACATTACTTTTAATTTGTTTCACTCTTCCATCAAGCTTTCCTTGCTACTCTTAGCCTAATAATACAAAGAAGTATAGAAATGTGTGATTTTTGTAGAGAGAGAAATATTCCCTCAGAAGTACAATAATTACAACATAATTATTTATCACAAAAAAGAAGGATTCAGGTTAGGAAGCAATGAAATCAATGTAAAACAGGAAAAATGCACACAAAATTCACAAAGATCCATTTGATCTGACAAAGGAATTCAACAAGGGAATCAGTGGTTGAACGATGCTTTTGTGTACCCCCAAAATAAACTGGCCAGAGGACTAAACCTACATCCACAGGAAATGCTGCAATATCAAAAAAAAAAATGGACGAAAATATTAAAGGGTTTTCTCCTTTTTGATGGCCAAATTCCGTCCTGTAAGCAGTGCATTAGACGCTAATGACATACGATTTCTCACTGACAGATTTAACAGCATCAATAAGGCCTCTCTGTCCATTGCAGCAAATTGATCCTACATGACACTGACAAGGGCAGCCTGCACTTAATGACCTCCATCGCTGAAGGATGGAAATGAAAAATGATTGGAAGTCCAAATAAATCTTTGAAAGTTTCCCTGAAACAGGTGTGCTGAAAGGGATTCGTCTGAGGGATCACAAACATAAACTCGATCTCTTAACATTCTCCATTGTCTGCTCATGCCAAGGTCTCATTCCTTGTCAAGACTTGCTTTAATTTAAAAAAAAAAAATGTGGTCATGACAATTTTGTCCTAACTATGGCAACAGAATGCCAGGAAAAGGCATGACTCTTCACTATTTATTCAGAAATCTAATATGTTTGTCATTGGCCACCAATGGATTCTATGTCAACTAGAAACAAAAGTTCATACAATTTGTTTTTTGTCTTCCCCTTGATTAGAGAAGAAAATAAGAGGTAGAAATTGATCATTTTTCTTCCCCAATGACCAGGAATGCATAGAACGTGTTTAACTGCAGTAATAATGTTAAATGCTT